CTGCAGCAGTGGAGGACTATTATTCTGCTGCGTGATACTGCAGAAGAACTGATGACGGCACGGTTTGATCTTCGGCTAACCAATCAGCAGAAAGGGGTTTTTAATTCCCGCCCACGTGTAGAAATCGAATATTCAAGCTGTTTATTCATTTTTCTACCCCTGAACGAAAAAAGAAAATTTAAGCTGAATTCTCTTTTTTCGTTTTTTGGGAAAAAACGAAAAAGGAGCCGTTTTCTCATTTTTCTACTTTCAATATTAAATCAAACAACGAATGATCGAATGATACACGGATTCTGAGATGTTTGTTAGTTTTTTTTTTTCAAGTTATACAGCATTTTAAAAACGCGGCGCGAGAAGCTGAAAACGCAAACGAGGCATAATGGTTAGACTTTTGTTTAACACATGATTTATTAGTTGAAAACAACATTTTTCATCACCATTATTCTAAGAAAGTGCTAAATATTTTGCTGAAATATATATTGTTTGACGTTAGAACGTAAAATCTATATTGTTTGACGTAAGAAAGTGAGTAAATCTTTACAAAGATCACAGACTTTGGACAATACTTAAGGGGTTCAAGTCCCCTAAGTTACTACTCACCAATAGCAGATTACAAGAGAACAATACGTCTGTTGAGATGTCTCTGAAGTCCACGGTCTTTTGCTTGATATTAAACAGAGCTCCATTATGATGGCTGTTTCATGATGGACTCCTCCCCTACATCCAGACTCATTAAAATAAGGTGACCAGACGTGCCACTTCCCAGGGACACGTTCTGCACAGGATTTCTAAATTGCTTAAAATAACCCATGTGTTGGTTGTTTGCGCTGCGCTGATCGATCGTTGTATTACTATTACATCAAAGTACCGCGAGAGGGATTCGAAAGCATAAGGAGCACGCTCTGCTCTCTATAGCTCTCGCGGTACTTTGATGTCATACAACGATAAATCGGCGCAGCGCAAACAACCAACACCTGGTTAGTTTAGGCAATTTAGAAATCCTGTGGAGAACATGTCCCCAGGAAGTGGCACATCTGGTCACCTTACATTAAAACATATACACGTTAACCTTAGATAATTTTGACTGCGTTTACACTTGGCATTAACATGGGACCTGTATCCTGATGTTGTCCACATACACATTGAAAAGACAAGTGTAAACGCGCTTCTGATCGGAATGTTATCCGATCAGCGTGTCCTGCTCCAGAGGTAGTCGAGGACGCATTGTGATCGGAACTCAGTGTAATGTAAACGCAATCCAGCCATCGTGTCTGCATTCTCAGGTCGACATCACGCAAAACGCCGCCCTCTCTCTCGCGAACTGTCAGAAAAAAAGACGGAGAACACCCGTGTGGAGACTAGTGAGACTCATACACTTATCTTTGATTTGTATAATGTCCCGCGACTGAAAATGCTTTTCAAAAGAAAGCCCACCACTTCAGGTTGACTTTGCACCGGGCCATTCTCTGCAGACTTATTTAAATATTGCACGTGAAAGACAGATCCGGTCGGTTATCCAGATAGAAAAGTCAGTTGATGTTGCCAAGTGTAAACGCGCCGTGTCCTGATTGACTGATGATCCGATCTGCTTGATCAGATCACGGTGATCGCATGTTAATCTGCTTGATCGGATCACGGTGATCTCATGTTAATGCCAAGTGTAAACGCAGCCTTTTATTTAAATTATAATTTTTTTGTTAATGAAAGTTACACTGAGAGTAAAAATAAAATCAGACAGTAAAATTCATTAGGAAATCCTTAGGGGCCTCTGTCAGTGCCATGCAATTTCCTGACAAGCCCCTGCTAGCCCTGCAGCACCTCCACTGTTCAGAAATGTTTTTCTCTTCCTTAAAGGGGTCATATGATGCTGCTAAAAAGAACATTATTTTGTGTATTTGGTGTAATGAAATTTGTTTATGCGGTTTAAAGTTAAAAAAACACATTATTTTCCACATACTGTACATTATTGTTGGGTCACCATACTTGGCCACATGTCACGTCACTTTTCACTTTTTCACTTTTCACTTTTCAATATTACAGCGAGAATAAAAGTTACTCCTTCTTTCTTTGTGTGAACATTTGGGCGGTGTTATGCAAATCTTCCCAGATCGTGACGTAGGTTTGTTGGGGGCGTGTTAGAACGAGCCGTTTTAGGTAGGTGTGGCTGACTCTGAACTTTTATAAAGAATATCTCTTTGGATTTGAGACTTTAGTCTTTGCAACTTTACAGATCTTCTTTATGCACCAAGAGCTTGTAACACTCCAAAGATAAAGGAAAAATTGAAATTGTATCATATGACCCCTTTAAAGAGCTTTAAGCCATGATCCATACCAACCAGATATGAGGTGAATCAAATTACAAACTACTTAAGTGGAAAAAAACGACTTTAATGAGGGAAAGAAATACAATCATGAAGCAACGCGAATGACAATCACAATCTTTAAATCAGTAGTTGTATAATTGTTATCTGTTGTATAATTGACAATTTGATTGTGTAGGCTATATAGAAACTTTGTATTTTAGATTCATTGCAAAATATGTTTCAACAAACACATATACCATCAATTAAGTAGTTCATTTGTATAGGTCTGTCTTTATAAGTTTTCGTATGTTGCAAAGTTTTTGTAGAAAACAAATGGAATTTTTATCTTCAGATGCCCACCGTTGCACTCTTTTAATTTTTCCTCAATTAAAAAACTTTGGCCCTTAAAAATTATAAAAATGGTACTATTGGAAATAATAAATAAATAAAACCATATCAGTAGCATGCTGTTTTATTGATCAAATCTGTGATGCTGCTATATAAATTTGCAGAATTAATGTAGGAATGTATGAAATCAGTGAATGTATATGCATGTGAAATCAATGAACTGATGTGACTGGCACACAGGAATCAGGAAACAAAGAGGTGTTGTATATGCACTTGGATCTGGCCAGTCTGAAATCTGTGAGGTCTTTCGCTGAAAACTTTCTCAAGAAAGAATCCAGATTGGACATTCTTATCAACAATGCAGGTAGCTATTATATATATATATATATATATATATGCAATTGCAATGATACAATTAGTAACTTTTGAAGATAACTAATTTAAAATCGTAGGTTTAAAAACTTTCTATTGATTTCTTTTTCTGTTTTTGTAGGACTTGTAATTGGTGGCAAGACTGAGGATGGCTTTGGAAGGATCTTTGGCGTCAATCACCTCTGTCATTTTCTGTTAACCATCCTGCTGTTGGAAAGGTTAAAAGAGTGCGGCCCCAGCAGAGTTGTGACAGTCTCTTCAATGGCCCATTGCTGGGGGAAAATTGATTTTGACTGCATCAACACTCATAAAGATTTGGGTTTAGGGAATTCTGCAGTGGCCTTATTAGGGATGTACAGTCACAGCAAACTCTGCAATGTCCTCTTTATGCATGAACTGGCCAAGAGACTCAAAGGCACAAATGTCACCTGCTACAGTCTTCATCCAGGTCAGTTTGTGTAAGCAGTAAGAAGCAGTACTTGATAAAATCTCATAGGTCATAAGTGATCTGATTTATTTTGTAGGGGCCATTAAAACGGACATTGGTCGCCACAGCAATCTATGGTGGCGCCTGTTCATGGCACCGATTTTGCTGCTTTTCTTTTCGGAAATGGCCCATTGCTGGGGGAAAATTGATTTTGACTGCATCAACACTCATAAAGATTTGGGTTTAGGGAATTCTGCAGTGGCCTTATTAGGGATGTACAGTCACAGCAAACTCTGCAATGTCCTCTTTATGCATGAACTGGCCAAGAGACTCAAAGGCACAAATGTCACCTGCTACAGTCTTCATCCAGGTCAGTCTGTGTTCTTTATTCTTTAAAAAGCAGTACTTGATCAAATATTGTGGGTCATAAGTAATCGATGCTGAATTATTTTGTAGGGGCCATCAAAACGGACATCGGTCGCCACAGCAATTTATGGTGGCGGCTGTTCATGGCACCGATTTTGCTGCTTTTCTTTTCGGATGTGGAATCTGGAGCTCAGACGTCTCTTTACTGTGCACTTCAAGAGGGTATTGAACCCTTAAGTGGACACTACTTCTCTAGCTGTGCAGTGCAGAATGTTTCTGCTAAAGCCAGAGATGATGCAGTAGCCAAAAAGCTTTGGGAAGTCAGCGAGAGGCTTGTTGGTTTAGCATGAGATCATCAGTTTCATTACACCTGTATGGATTTGCAATTGCACAGTTTGTTTAGTGGCACCTGTGGGCAACTGTGTTAGATAAATCTGTGTTTCTGCATATTATAAAAAGCCTGTGTCAAATTTTGCAGTTCATAACATGCTCTGACCACAAAAAAGAGTTGTTAATTCTTCTAATAAAAATGTTCTTTGATTGTTTTACAGATTGCGTTTGTGCAAATATCACTAATTAGCAAACATATTTTGAATGTAACCCAAACCGCTGTGTATATGATACGTTTTCACTTCCTGAAGTTTATGGGACCAGGTTTCCACTACATAAATCATGTTTCTTTGTCATACCAAAGTAAAGAAGTAACTCACTGGGTGTGTCTGGGGATACCGAGGCATTACTGTGCTGAATGTGTCACCTCTCCCAGTTAGAGTATGTTATTGATTTAGTAAAGGAACAGTATGCATCATCACCTGTGGATTGCAGGTGTCAAAAATACGTCAAGGGTAGGGATGGGCGTATCGATACAAAGTATCGATATATCGATACTGACGCGAGTATCGAAAGTATCGATACTCAAACAAAAATATCGATACTAAGGTGCATTTTATTTACCAGTGGTTTTGTTTATTTAACAACAATACTAATAATAATGCGTACAATATGCATTGAATTGGACGAATAACCTTTGTTAGCGAGTAATTGTGTAGGATAGAACTAGTTTCCTGCTCATCTGAATACACGCAAATGTTGCAAGACAGAACCAATCAATCACAGAGAGCATTCACTCACTGCTGACAGTGCATTCAAACAGGGCTGCGTTTCCATAAATTTCATAATTTAAAAGTTTAGTGCAGAAGTATCGAATCGGTATCGATATCGACGATACTGCCTTGAAAAGTATCGGTATCGTATCGAAAACAAAATAAGGGGTATCGCCCATCCCTAGTCAAGGGATGTGAACACTTTGATAATGTGAAATGTGAAAAATTCAAAATAGTTTGGCACTGAGTTCATTGGTGATGTCATCCACTAGGTAATTCAAACAACATTCAGTCACTTCCTTCAGTTTTACCAATAGCTACTACAAACTTAATATATTATTTTTTAAGAATCATGTGAATCAATCGGGTGTAATGGCTGCTGAAATTCAGCTTTGCCATCACCAGAATAAATCCCATTTTAAAATATAGTATAGTAGGTAGATGTAAATGATTTCATTTTCTCAATTCTTACACAAACTGTGGCGTTTGCTGTATTTGGTCTCAACATGTTACCAAACGTTGTTGGTAAGGGGGACAAAATACATAATTTCGAATTTAATTAAAAATGTATTTAATATACAACCTTGTTATTTATTCTGGCCAGTTTGTGTGTGTGTGTGTGTGTGTTTTCCCCCCAATAAATTATGTTTACTTGTGATGATTATTTAATATTTGTTGGTAAAAAAAAAAATTAATACAAATCAGGGATCAAAACTGTATTTAGACCCATATTTTTGTCAAATAAAATACAACGATCGATCAACATATTACGAATGTGAAAGCAAGCATCTTTAACTGATTTGTTGTGTCAAAACAAACGTAGGCTACTCCATTTTCAAGAGTTTCCAGCTATACTTTGTACCCCATTTGTTAATAAAACATGCCAAGATATTAAGATAAATGAGCAGTCTTTGGCCTTGAACGGTATATTGTTCTCTTGAGCACGTGCAAACCGGTTTCGTTGAGCGCTCATGGGGTGATGGAGAAAACCCCCGGACCGGTTTATCAGGCTCTGGCCCGGGCGGAGTACATAAAACCGCCCGCAGACTCCTGCAGTGGATCACAAACATGATTCATCTCATCATCGCCGGTGCGCTCGTCGCAGCTCTTTATGTCGTTTTGGTGGAGACGTTGTTTAAGAAGTCAAAATGTAAAGGAACCGCTGACATGACCGGGAAAACGGCCATTGTTACAGGTGAGTTTTTTTTTATAATCATTCTCTGAAAAATGTACCGTTAAAACGCGCTTGTCGCCTTCACGTTTGCGTTGGGACGCTGAGGAAAGCCTGCACGTGTTTTAGTTGTGGTCCTGAGAGATGCTCGGCTTGATGTTTCAGGCGGGAATACTGGTATCGGTAAGGCCACAGCTCTAGATCTGGCAGGTCGTGGAGTAAGAGTCATTCTGGCCTGCAGAAACCAGAAGAAAGCGGAGTCTGCTATAAATGACATCAAGAAGGTGAGGACCATCACTTCTGACCACTGATTCAAGAGTTTTGAGTGTTTACTGAACCCGTATTTGTTGTTCAGGCCACAGGAAGCAATGACATTCTGTTCATGGAGCTTGATCTTGGAAGCTTCAAATCTGTGCGAGCTTTCGCTGAGAACTTCCTCAAATCTGAGTCAAGACTAGACCTGCTCATCAATAATGCAGGTAAGCCAAACCATCAATACTGTTTCAAATCAGATTGTAAGCAACATCTGGGCTATGTTGATTGAGCACTATCTGAATATGATGGGGAACATGTGGCACTGTTTTCAAAGGTTTTGTTATGTTTAGGTCTTGTGGCGGATGGTCGAACCGAGGATGGTTTTGGCATAGAGTTTGGTGTCAACCATCTTGGCCATTTTCTGCTCGCATGTCTTCTGCTGGATCGTCTGAAGGAGAGTCCTTCTGCTCGTGTTGTCACACTATCCTCCATGGCGTATTGCTGGGGCAAGATTGATTTCGATTCTCTTGTCGCCACCAAAGACCTGGGGTCAGGGAGATACAGCTGGCAGTTCTTCCAGGCCTACTGCAACAGCAAACTCTGTAATGTCCTGTTCACTCACGAACTGGCCAAGAGACTGAAGGGCACAAACGTCACCTGCTACAGTGTTCATCCAGGTAAATCATACTTGAAGGAATAGTTTATAAAGTTCTGTCATTATTCACCCACCCTTATGTTATTCAAAACCTGTATGACTATTTTTCCATTCGTTTGTACATCACTCAAATTCCTCTTTTTGCGTTCCACAAATGAAGAGTCATAGAGGTTTGAAATGTCACAAGGTTGAGTAAATGATGGCATTTTTATGGCAACCGCTCATACTCAAGTGCATATTCACATTTGAATGTTCACATTCACTAAAAAATGTTTTTTCAAAGTTGTCAATGAAACTTTTAGATTATTGGGGTACCTTTTACAAGAAAATATAAAGTCTATACAGTCTTTCTACATCTAATTTAGTGTGTTACTTGCCATTTCTTTTGTAGTTATTTGAATTATAAGAATTTGACAAGCAATTTCTCAGTGAAAATTTTCAACACCAATTTTTTTCAGTGTTCTTAAGGTGAGGTCACTTTAGTGACATTTCGGCAAAATGTAACTTTCCAAAAAAAAAGGGTATGTTGTCAATAGTCACACAGAAGTCACTTTCAAACCAAGCAGTTTTCTGTTGGCCAACGTGGTAAATCTGAAAGAAAAAAAAACCATTGGGAAATCTGCGTGGAAAAAAGTTTCGCTCTCACACAAAGTTTCCAATCGTGCAGATTCCTTTTGAAATAATTGGATTTCATCCTCAAAGTGGTAAATATGGCCACACTTTTTGACCTTACAATAACAGAAGCTCCATCCAAAAGCTCATACTGTCTAGTGGGTACTACATTTGGTTTGAAACTTCATGAAAAAATGTAGTACATGTAGTATTAATATGGGTAGTATAAGTGAAATTCTGATGTACTACATCCAACATGTTGTCACCATCACATGACCTACCAGCATCAGTTGTGTCACTTAAGTGCCATTCACAACTTTGTTTACTAATCATGAATACGCACTTATTTGTGCATGAAATCAGTATGTTTACCACCAACTGGATACACTGGAACGCAAAGTCACATTCCCAGTAGGAATGAAACCATTTAAAATGATAAATAATGAAATGAAGAATAATGACATGAGTAAAAAACAAGAGTGAATGAGACCCATAGTTTTTGTGTGTGTGCACGTGTGAATTCCAGATCATTGATGCTAATCTAGCCTATCATCTGGAATGCTCAGAGCCATTTCCTGTTTTTTTGATAAACCTGATAAACTTGCGTCTTATATAATCTCTGTTGAAGAGGTTTAATCACCAATCAGTTGTTCAGTTGGGTTAAAGAAATGCATAATATTGTATCACCCTTTTGCAGGTGTTGTAAAGACCGAGCTCTCCCGCCATGTGAGTCTCTGGCAGAAAGTTTTCATCGAGCCAGTGGCTAGACTGCTGTTCCTGGACCCAAAAACCGGAGCCCAAACAACTCTGCATTGTGCCGTTCAGGAAGGAATTGAGCATTTGAGTGGACGTTATTTCTCATGCTGCGCTGTGGAGGAAGTCAGTGCCACAGCCAAAGATGACGTGGTGGCCAAAAAGCTTTGGGAAGTCAGTGAACGTCTGAGCGGCCTTTCATAAAGCCAGAGGAACTGTTTTATTTCTGGTGGCTGTCTTTGAACTTTATTTATCCCTAAAGGGGGAAAAACTAAACGTGTGAAGTGATGAAATTGTTTGTGGCATTTTTATGTTTCTGGACGCACAATTATTTACAAGGTTTACAGTGTTTTAATTTCTGTTTACATAAACTCATACCAGCATACAGCAGTTATTTTTTACTGTATTAAAGTATCTAATGGAATCAATATTATCCTGGTTGGTTCTTTATTGTATGAATTATGAAATTATATTTGATATGAAAGCAAAACTCCAACAAACGTGAGTGATATAGTAATTTTTGCTTGGCCAATCCCCAATTTGATTAAACTCAGACATGCACCTTTTGTTACATATTGCCGCTAAAACTTGTTTCTGCCACGTGATAAAAGAGGAAATATCTATCTATAAAGTATATCTAACGTAACTTCAGTTCTTTATCTCACAATTGAGACTTTTTCTAGCATTTTTTTCTCAGAATTGCTAGACATTAACCAAAAAGTCTCGTAATTCAGTGTATTTCTCGCAATACTCCTTTTTTCACAGAATTTAGAGAAAAAGCACCTGAGCATGCTTTTTTTTCCTGAGAAAAGCACAGGAGCATGTGTCTTAAAGGGATGGTTCACCCAAAAATTCTGTCGTTTACTCACCCTCATGTCGTTCCAAACCTGTATGAGTTGCTTTATTTTGAAGATTGCTGGTAATCAAACAGTTGGTGGTTGCCATTGACTTCCATAGTAGGGAAAAAAATACTATGGAAGTCAATGGCAACCACCAACTGTTTAATTACCAGCAATCTTCAAAATATCTTTTTTTATGTTCGACATAAGAAAGCAACTCATACAAGTTTGGAACGACATGAGGGTGAGTAAATGATGACAGAATTTTCATTTTTGGGTGAACTATCCCTTTAAGCGCACGTCACGCTACGCAGAGAATGAATATATATATATATATATGTATGTGGTTAGAGGGTTTAGTGAGTTTGTGAATTCAAGCTAAAACCGAAAACCGCTGAGACTGCACCATCAAATTCTCTTCCCGCTTCATTTACAGGCACATATCCACCT